ATTGGGTTACACCGAATCATGCATTCTGATTGGCCAATCTTGGTAAATCGATATAAATCGATATTTTTGACCATATCGATCGATATTTTTGCAAAATCAAATCGATATTTTTCACTGTCCCTGGCACGTACTTACGCGCATACGTACAATTTTGTATTTTTATTGAATCTACGTATTATTCCGAAATTTCAAACTTAATCGAATCGGCTGGAGTACGTACGTACGTACCATTCGGTCAATTTTTATCAGGTTTTCCAGAAATTATGAAAATAGCAATAAAAATTATGGAAAGTTATGGATCCATAATTTTCGGCGTCCCTGGTGCTAGACTATAGATGTAGCCCAAACTATTTGGGACGTCCCAAACCATGTATTAATTAGTATAGTACTAGTTTCGACTGCTTTTTTTTCTTATTGCCGAAACTATGTGATACTAATTGTCACATAGTCTAGACTCCTGGCGGAGTTGGAGATTTACGGTTGTTTTGGCTATGGCTTCAATGAACAAATCAAAAAGAGCAGGTTCATTTATTTTTTTGTTTGTTCGTGTAACAAATTAATGCATATTCACACTCTAATCACTACTTTCGGATGGGCCACATAACAAAGCCCGCGCAAGGATTATGATTTTCTTCGTTTGCAAAAAAATCACGGAATAGGTCTAGAAAAATGAGAAAAATCACGGAATAGGACGTTGATAATTTTAAATTTTGGTTAGGATTAAAGCCCGCAATCATCATAATTCCGGCCAATATTAATTTTTAAATTTATTTGGGACCGTAATTTCGGCCAAATCGCAGAATTTTTGCCGTAGAGAATCATGTCCCTGAGCCCGCGTGTACGTATTCATGTATCGAAAAAAAACGGAATTGCTAGATTAAATCTGCCAGTATGTCGAGTTAATATTTGACGCTATCGCCATTGATGGCTTAGAGCCTTGAAAATCACCCCCGACATTTCCGATCGGGTAATTTGGACAAAAATAAACCCGAGTACCGGTTTTACCTTTATTGATTCAATAGCGATAGTTATTCGAGAATCAAATAAAGGTAAAAGATCGGTACTCGGGTTTATTTTTGTCCGAATTAACCTGATCGGAAATGTAGGAGGGTGATTTTCAAGGCAATGAGCGATCGTGTATTTAAGGTTTTAAGCATTTATTTATTTATAGTAACCAATAATTGAGTGATTGATAAAGATCTAAACGTGGATCTTAAGTCATCTTCTCTGGTAAGCACCGTTAATTTATACGTACAATTTTTTTTTTTTTTTTTTTTTTAACAAATTAAATTTCAATAATAAAAGTATTAAAAAAGAAACTTGTTACAATGTCTTCCGCGAGTTTTTTGGCCCAAGAACAAGCTGCATTTGATTATGAAGTTTCTGAAGTGAAGAGGTGGTGGAATACAGAACGTTTTCGTCTTATAAAACGTCCTTATACTGCCGAACAGATTGTGTCAAAACGAGGTCTTCTTAAACAACAATATGCCTCTGACACTCAGGCCAAAAAGCTCTGGGCTTTGTTAAAAAGTCATCAAAAGAACAAGACCGTTTCGCATACTTTTGGTTGTTTGGATCCTATACAAGTATCACTAATGGCTAGGTATATCGAAACTGTCTATGTCTCGGGCTGGCAATGCTCCGCTACTGCTTCTACCTCAAATGAGCCCGGGCCTGATCTTGCTGATTACCCAATGGATACTGTTCCAAACAAGGTGGAACATTTGTTTTTGGCACAACAATTCCATGATAGAAAACAGCGTGAAGCCCGATGCAGTATGTCTAAGGAGGAGCGCGCAAAAACTCCTTTCGTAGATTATTTGCGGCCAATTATTGCTGACGCTGATACGGGTCATGGTGGTATCACCGCCATATTAAAACTTGTAAAAATGTTTGTTGAACGTGGAGCTGCCGGAGGTAATATTTCTTTTCTTTTTAATTTTGCTACCTACTACTATTTTACCATTAAAGCTCAAAGTCGCGTAAAGTTTTATTTAATACACGATCGATTTTCAATAAATGCTTGCTGTACAACTCGCGCAGAAACTACCTCGTTGGTGTACTTAAAAATGGTCTTTATTATGCACACTTGTATATTTTTAAGTATTAAAATTACAACTTGCGCGATAGTGTGGGTTGCGCACATCTTCCCATCTTTAGTCAATTCCACTAAATCTACGATATGTCATCAAAGTTTCTCAAATTATTTGCACTTAAAAGGAAAAAATTTTCACCTGTAGATCACGCATTTATTGAGAGTTGACTATATAATAATTTCATCTTTCTAAATTTGATTTATTAAAGTTGAAAATTACTAAAATATTATGAAATTTCAGTTCACATTGAAGATCAAAGTCCACTTTATAAAAAGTGTGGTCACATGGCTGGAAAGGTCTTGGTTCCAATCTCTGACCATATCAATCGCTTGATTGCAATCCGTGTTCAATTTGATATTATGGGGGTTGAAAACCTTATTGTCGCCCGTACTGATTCGGAAGCCGCCACTCTTATTACATCTAATATAGATCCCCGTGACCATGCATTCATTCTTGGTTCTACAAATCCTAATCTTCGTCCTCTTGCAGAAGTCTTAAAGGAGGAGGAATCAAAGGGTGCTGCAGGAGAAAGACTGGCAAAAATAGAAGCAAATTGGATTGCTAGTGCAAATCTCAAACTTTACCATGATGCTGTAAGCGATGCAATTAAGGCATCTAGTTATGCTGACAAATCATCTCGCCTTCAGAAATGGGCATCAAAATCATCAGGTCTCTCTTACTATGATGCTGCTAAATTAGCCAAGTCATTAGGTGTTGATGTATATTGGGATTGGAATTCACCACGGACAACTGAGGGATTGTTTAGGTACCAAGGCGGCACAAAATGCTCTATCCACCGCGCAATAGCATACGCCCCATATACTGACATGTTATGGATGGTTAGTCATTTTTTTCTAATATTCAACGTATTTTTTTTCCTTACGTTTGCTGTGATATAATTTGTTATCCCCCACGTTAGGAAACAAAATCTGCTATTGTTGAACAAGCGAGAGAGTTCTCCCAAGGTATCTGTTAATAAAAATTATGATTTTTATAAGTAAAAAAAAAAATAAAAAATATATATATATATTATTATTACTTTGTTGTCTTTTGTTAAATAATTTTTTTATAATTTAAGGTGTACTCAAGGTTCACCCTGAGGTTTTGCTTTGTTACAATCTGTCGCCAAGTTTTAATTGGGATGCAGGTAATATATATACGCATGTTAGTTATAATTTGAGAGTTTTAACATGCTTTAATTATTAAATCCTATTTATAAAGCCGGCTTGAACGATGAACAAATTCGCACTTTCATTTGGGACTTGGGTAGATTAGGATTTTCATGGCAATTCATTACATTGGGTGGTCTTCATTCTAATGCCTTGGGCGTCGGTAATTATCATTATTATTGTCTTTGTTACCGGGCTTATGACCATTATTAATTATTTATTTATTTTATAGATCTTTTTGCACGCAAATATGCCAAGGAAGGTATGTTGGCTTATGTCAGGGATGTTCAACGAAAAGAACGTGAACACGGAGTAGAAACGTTGGCACATCAAAAGTGGGCTGGCGCAAATTATGTTGATTCATTAAGTAAGTCAATATGTTATGTTAATAACGAATATGTAAGAATTTAATTTTTACGCATATTTAATTTCTTAAGTTAAAACTGTACAAAGTGGAGTCGCTTCTACTGCTGCTATGGGCAAGGGCGTGACCGAAGAACAATTCAAATAGTAACGTCGGGGTCAGCATCTTTAATGTAGAGTTTAGAACCGGGCTATAGTAAACCGGGTCACCCGTGTCAAAACGGTTCAACCGGGTCAAAAATTTACAACTCGGGTCAAAACGGTTGAATATGTAACCTCTAACAATCTGTTACTAATACACAGAAAACTTAACACATTATAATTGTATTGTGAATAAATACCCTTTTTCTCTTACTAATTTATCTAAATGTTCAATCCCGTTAATCTGGATTTAAAAAAAAACGTTACAAACTTTGGAGGCTATACGGACTATCTTTGTTGCGAAAATTTTGTTAAAAATTTTCCTTTGTATAAACCTTCATTATTATTTTCTTTGCTAATATGTAATAAAGGGAGAAGAGGCGATGGCTCAACTCAATATACCAAAATAAATACTTAAAGAAGAAAGAAGAGGTGATAGCTTAACTTTAAATACACAATAAAAACACAATAAAAAGAAGGTAGGTGATGACTACACTTCCAAGAAAATAAACTGTAAATAACAAAGAATTAAAAGTAGGTGGGAGATAGTCTGCTCTGCCTTGAGGAAAAAGGCAGAGTTTTTATATCTTTTGGACTATTAGTTAATAATCTAGTTAATAACCTAGTTAACAACCCAGTTTACAACCTAGTTAGCAACTCAGTTAACAATCCATTTAACAACCTATTTAACAACCCAATTAATATACCAGTTAATGTAAACATATCAGTTAACATACCTAATATTATACTAAAATTAATACTATTTGTCAAAAATTTTACAATTAAACTAAAGCTAAAAATAAACATATAATAAATATAAATTATACTAATAAAATATACTAATACAGTAAAATCTTCTAAAATATGCTAATAAAATCTACTAAAATAACAATATATTGCTACATTTTTGTATTACATATATTAAGTATACCAAGCTCAGACCCAGATTCTATTAGTAACCTATGTTCTGACCGAAACTATTATTTGTGCAATAGATGTTCCTATCCGCTATTGGTCACCAATCTAATTATTTGCAATCTAAACCTACCGGAGTAGTATGTTATTATCGATGTACTCACCTGGTATTTTTTTACTCTTTACAAGTCCTATTTCGATATACTTCTCTATATTGTTATTCTCTGCATTACTTATACTGTACCACTTATATCTAAGCTCTTAAATTTAATAATCCTCTTTATAGAAAATCCTTGTAGTTTAATTAGGCTACTTCTAATCTTGGTAAACCTCAGCTAGCCAGCTCAGGTAAGTCTTATCAATAGGCTTTATACTGACCCAGGTTAAGCCTCCATTAATAACACCTAGTTTAGTTAATATGCTTGCTAATCTGATTATCACATTGGGTAGATACTCTTATGTGTTGGTGTAAGTTTGCTGTGTTGTATTACAAGTTATCTTATAACTTTCAGATAGTGGTTTTTTATATTACTTCTCTTCTATAAACTAACAGATTAGGTACCGTCTAGTAATTATAGTATTTTAATGTTCTGATATTTTAGATTACAAGGTGTTAAGGATAAAGATCTAGTTTGGCTTGTGGTCTATATTAATCTTGGTATTCTTTAGTTTTTCTAATATGCAAATTCTATTCATATAATATACTATTAGCTCGGTGAATCCAGCTATTTTGAGTTATTACTGTATACTTTGAGTTTCAGCCCACTTATTCTGTCATTGTAGGGTCTTTTCTAATAGACCAAGTGACTTGGTGACAGGTGCTTCTGATTCTAGTTGAGCCAATCCTTTTCTACAGATCATCCTTGTGTTTTCTATTTTTTTACTACTCCA